AAAACTAGTCAACACTTAATTGTAATTTTATTACTAAGTAATATTTTTAGTTTAAATGTATAATATATAAATACAGAATGATAAATATTTTAAATAATTTTCGCACCTTTTTTTATTWGGAGTTTATATATTTTATAACCAATTAACAAATGGTTAAAATTTAAAAGTTGAAACATCTATAACACTAGATCATAGTATTCATGGTAAATTAAGAAATAATATTATTCTTTATACAATGCACTAGATGTTAATGATATTCGTCGTTACTCTATCGTTACTTAGTATTACTAAGTAATAACATTAATAAACCAATTCGTCACCAGATAGCGTAAGTTCCACTTAAAGGAGTGATGCGTAACATTGTCTGACCGGCTGATAAGGCTCTGTGTCCAGTCCTGTATATCTTAGTTCATGGTTATTACCACGGCTTTAGATAGAATGGTTGCGCGTCGATCGAAAAATAGTGGTAAGAGAAAGTGCTTACATCAATCACAGACTTCTATAATAAGTAAATATAGTAAGTCTGTGACATCAATTGACTACCTCTTAACGCGATCTAGCGGTCATATTTATAAACTATAGGATATTATTATTATTTATAATGCTTATTTTCTGCATGGAATGTGCACCACGATTTTTTTGTTGGCTAAAATCACTTTTTAATTTTTAATTATCAAAATATTATAAAATAAACCTTGATTAGTTGATTATAATTTAGCTTAAACTGTCCTCATGACTAGCTACTTTGGTACCTATTTAATCAATTAATTTAAATTGTATTATTGAGTTATAGATTGACTATATATTTCACAGTGTATATTATATTTCAATTATTTATCAAAATGTTTAATAATTACTATTGTATTTATAACTTATAACTTGTATTTCAGTATATAATTAAATATATTAGGAATTTATTTGCCCGATTTACATACTATAAAAATGTGTTGTAAATATGTACCTAGTATAATAGTAAGTATTAAAATTAAACAACGACAACATTGTAGTCCATAGAATAGTAAATGRTTGACAATGTGCAAAGAAGTAAAGTGAAACAGCCAGTGAATAATTGADATTTGAGATACCCAAAAAMAAAATTACTGTTTTTAGCACGATTTAGTAAAACATATAGAAGTCAACGCTAGATGGCAATAACTGTCCGTCAATTCATGTGAGTACATTGCATAGTCACTTATATAGTCAGTAAACTTAACATACGTCGACGCGCAACCATTATCTATCTAAAGCCGTGGTTATTACCAACAATTGCAATTCAACTAGTATGCAATGTAAATTGTGGTTTCCCACAAATTATACCTAGTACCTACATAATATGCGAGTTAATAATATTCTCGAACAAATTCACAAAAAGCTCAAGGTTGTTTTATTTAATTTCGGGGGGTGTTTGAACACCCAAACCCCCCCCCTTTACCTACGCCATGTGAGCGCACTATTCGTAGTTTGTTGGCTATATTTTAATTTTCATGTAATCATGAGCTGTTGGCGTATAAAATAAAATATTAAAATTTCAAGTTTAATAAATTCCATTAAAATATAATATATCTACTAAAAAGGTCAACTTAACGATACAGCTGTCAGTTGGTAAAAATTTAATGTTCGTAACTTCAAGTGATTTTTATAATAGCCAATATGGCTATAATGGTGAATATTATACAGTGGATTCCCTCCAGCGCCGTGTTGAGCTCTACCAGTGTCACACCAGTCTACCACCCTACACTACACTTGTCCATTTTYACAAAATTTACAAAATTAACCAAATAGCATATTGCTTACCTGTGTTTTCCTAATAATGCACGCCGATGACGACGGTCTGCACTCTGCATCGACATACCTACTGATGTTCTTTCTCGGTTCTTTCCCGCGCAAAACGAGTTTTTGGGTACCTATTAAAGATTTCCGTTCATTAGTTTCATTTGTGTAATTGTGTGTGTTARTTTCCATATTAAAGTGAATTGACCAATCATAAAACATTTAGGTAAGAACATTATCTGTGCTAAAGCGTCAGCTTTTATTCGATATTTTCATTTTCGAGCAAAAATACGAGTATGTGAAATATTACAAATTAAAAATGCCCATATCTCGCTTGAAATTGAAAATATACCTATCAGAAAAACTGATAAATTTTTACCCAAACATTTGATACCATGAGTCAACGTCTGAACGTCAATTCAATCATTTAAATCTAAGGCTGCATCCGAATTGGTTCCCATACCTGAAAATTGACATCCGAATGGGTTCCCGACATTCCACGAGACACACATCTGAATTGGTTCCCGATATTCTAATGAATAAATAATAGGTAGACAAGAAACTTTTTTATTGCGAACAYGTTTTAAAAATCATATCAACAAAATTGCTATATTAATTTTTTTAAATTTCTAATAGAAATTTTTAAATTTTGCTTTAATATGAACTTATATGGTATTATACGAACGCCTAACCTACGAATTAGAATTTATAAAAAGTGTTTGTTGCAAATTTTTACCTTATTAATTTTTTATTAATACATACCTAACTATTATACTTATAAAAAATGAAAAATTGACGAGTTGAAAAACTATATTATTTTTATTTTTTTTTTAATGACATTCGTGACAAAAGCAAAATACATACCAAAATATTATACTTATAAAAAAAGAAAAATTTACGAATTGAAAAACTGTATTATTATTATTATATGTATTATTTTTTATTTTTTTTAATGACATTCGTGACAAATTTTTAACCATCCCTGCATAATATGTAGACAGTCCTTAGTCTGTATAAAATGGGAAGGAAAATTGAAAATGCTTTTTCCCGGGAACCAATTCGGAACAACCCGGGAACCAATTCGGAWATACCCTTCGGAACAACCCGGGAACCAATTCGGATATACCCTTCGTAACAACCCGGGAACCAATTCAGACGTTTGGGAACCAATTCGGATACACCGAAATCTAATAACAGCACACTATTGAAATTACGAGAAACGAACATTTTCTTGGCTTTTACAGTAATGTAGTAGTAACATTTTTAACCAGTATGATACTTGGATATGATTTTTAAATATAATTTTAATTATTAAAATATGTACATTCTCAACTTCCCCGTTTATTTAACAATTTAATTTAGTATATGCGATTATAATTAATGTAATACGTACATAATATTTAAGCTGTTTATTATAGA